AGCGCATCGGCTATGATGCTGTCAATGAAGAAGAGCTGCTCTACCAAGTCGAGGAGGCTGTCGTCGCCCAGAAGGATCACTTCCTCTCAACTCTAGGGATCGATGAGCATCAGACGATCACAGGTATCAACTTGACACGCAAAGATCTCTACTGGGCATCGAAGCCACTCCTCCGCAATCTCTACGCTAATCTCGACATCGATGGCGATGCAGCCAAAGCTTCAGCCGGGAAGCCCCTCATAGGCACTCTACGGGACGCTGCCGATGCGGACAAACGTGTCTCGATCTTGACTACTGCTTTCATCGAGAAAGTTTCTGCTGTCCTTGGTGTTGCTACAGATATCGTTCAGCCTGGTAACCCACTGTCAGCCTATGGCCTGGACTCGATCGTTGCTATTGAGTTCCGCAAGTGGTTCACGAAGGCCATCAACGTCGATGTCCAGACCTTCGACGTTCTCGGCTCCAAGTCCATCACCGATTTGGTCACCAAGGCGGCAAGTCTGATCAAATTTGATGCCGAGAGCGAGGATGATAAGACCGGGACGTCCGCTGTTGGAGCTGCTGAGAAGGCGAGCGTTGACAAGACTGAGCAAGCCCCAGCTACTGCCACTTCTGCAGAGTTCTCACAGATTGAGAGACCCGAAAAAGTGCCCATGTCCACCTTCCAACGCAGGATGTGGTTCCAACACAACATGCTCGAAGACAAGTCATCGCTCAATGTACCAGTGATGTGCCATGTGCGAGGCAAGCTCGACGTTTCAGCTCTAGAATTAGCTGTGGGAGAGATGGTGAAGCGAAACGAAAGTCTTCGCATGTCGTTTTTTGAAGGCGACGACTTCTCCGAACAGAAGCCAATCCCTGGCTTCGACTTGCACCTAATTCGCAAAGATCTTTCCGCAGACTCTGGAAACGACAGCAAATCTTTGAACAAGTTCGTTGCTGAGCTCAGGGATCAGACGCTGGATATCGAGAATGGCGAGGTTTTACGCATGGCGATGGCCAAGATCGAAGAAGGACACTATGTCCTTGTTATGATCTACCACCATATCTCCATCGATCGTGGAAGCTCCAAGTCCATGTTCCAGCAAGTGACCTCTCTGTACGAGGCCGCTCGCAACGAGAGGGCGCTTGCAACCGTAGCGTCACCACGGGTTTCTTATATCGACTTCACACTCTGGCACGAAGCTCGCTTGGCGTCATCAGAGCTCCAGCTCAGCATAGACTTTTGGAGGAACAAGTTGCGCAATGCGCCAGAGGTCAGTAGGTTGCTGCCGTTCGCGAAGGCATCACGTCCTCAGCACATGGACACCGCGCGAGCAGTGCTCAACATGACTCTTGAGACGCCTATGCTCAATCGAATGAAGCGGATTTGCGCTCAGACCGGCACAACGCCCTTCCAATACCTGCTGGCGGCCTTCAGATCTTTCCACTACCGATACACCGAGGAAGAAGATTTGACGGTCCTCATGGTAGATGGCCGTCGACCTCATCCTGATCTGGAAGAAACCATTGGCTTCTTCGTCAACTTGATTCCAATCCGATTTACCAAAGGATGCGACGTAAGCTTCGACCGCCTCCTCGAGTACACCAAGTCTTCTGCGCTCGAGGCGACCCAACACAGCACAGTCTCCTTCGACGCCATCGTGGACGCAGTCAACGTTGAGAAGACCCCGAGCCATTTCCCACTGGGCCAGCTTGCAATCAATTATCAGTCGCACGGTAAGATGCCAAAATTCAAGACTCAGGACTTTGAGATCAGCCAGATCGAAGGCGAAGATATACCCACCGCATGTGAAATGCAGCTGGAGGCGCTTGATGATCCCGACAAAGGGTTGGACCTCCGCCTAGAGTATTCATCAACCCTCTATGGTGCTAACGAGATGGACCTGTTCTTCGATAATTTCTTGCACTATCTCACCAACGTGATCAAGGATCATCGTCAACCAATCTCCGAGGTTGCAATGTGCGGTCCCAAAGAGATTGATCATCTCCAAACCAGTTCCTGGAACACCGGCTTCACTGAGAATACCTGGGACAATACCTCTGTGGTTAGCAAGATCGTCGAAATCGCCAAGAGTGCTCCCGAAGCTACTGCTATCGAGGATTCCGAAGGCCAGTCTGTGTCTTACGAGAACCTCGTTAGCCAAGCACAGAAAATTGCGGCCTCTATTCAACAGTCTAGCGCATCGCCTGGTAGTTTCGTCGGTATCTTGTCGAGACCCGGCATCGAGTCTATCTCAGCAATGCTAGGTACACTGATTGCTGGCTGTGGGTACATACCCATGGATCCAGAGTTTGCAATGGACCGGTTGACATTCATGGCATCGGACGCTTCAGCAAAGGCCATACTTGTTGGTACAGGCCTGGACAAAGTGGGTCTCACCATTGCCAAAAACATCGACTTCGAACCTCACCTCATTCCCATCTCGGCTGCAAACTCATACAATGAGCCACTGCGCCCTGTTGAGGGGTCTTCTGAAGACCCTTTTTACATTATGTACACTTCGGTAAGTATCTCATTTTCCGGTCGCAGGTGGCTTAGCTGACGGGCCTACTTCCAGGGGAGTACAGGGACACCCAAAGGCGTTGCTCTGACTCGCTCAAACACGCAGCAGATGCTTAGTAGTCTGCATTATGACTTTGGGTTCAACCCTGGGGACAAGTTCCTCCATCAGTCTTCCATCTGCTTCGACCTCTCAATCGTACAGATTTTCTCTGCCCTGACCAGTGGTGCCACTGTCTGCGTTGCAAGTCCAGAAGTTCGGAAAGATCCTTTGCTCCTGGCTAAATTCATGCGCGATGCAGAGGTCAGTGTCACCTATAATACGCCAACCCAGTTTGCCCTGCTCCTAGAAAGCGCATCCGAAGACCTTCGCCAATGCATCAATTACCGCGTCGCATTCTTCGCGGGCGAGACCTTACCTGTCCGCTTGGCGAAAGCGTTCTACGACCTTAACACACCTGCCACTGCCTACAATACTTGGAGCCCAAGCGAGTTGGTCGTTCAAACTGCTATCCACAAAGTCGAGTACCCGACAGATGACACTACCAACATTCCCATCGGTTTCCCAATGGCGAACTGCCGTCATTATATCCTAGACTCCAAGATGAATCCCCTTCCAACAAGTATGATAGGCGAGATCTGTGTTGGTGGAGCTCAAGTCGGCGCTGGATATCTAAACCGACCTGATGCCAATGCGCATTCCTTCGTTGAAGATCCTCTCCGTTCTAAAGACGATGCAGCGAGGGGCTGGAACAAATGCTTCCGCACCGGTGATAAAGGCCGCTTCCTGCCAAATGGAGAGCTGGAGTTCCATGGCCGCATCGCTGGTGATCGCCAAATCAAGCTACGCGGTTTCCGCATTGACCTTGGTGAAATCGAACACCGGATTCACCGAGAATCTTCGCACATCGGCAAACGCAGACTTGTAGATCTATCAGTTCTTGCGCGACCTGGGACTGAGGGCTCGAGTCTGACTGATGAGCGCCAAATAGTTGCCTTTTTAGTCTACAACCAGTTCATGGAAGCCTCCGAGAAGCAAGATCTGGTCTCTATGCTACATGAGAAACTTGCCAATCATCTGAACTACTACATGTTACCCAGCGGCTACCAATTCCTGAACAGCCTCCCAGTTACCATTGGTGGCAAGGTGGACCGCAAAGCCCTCCTCGCAACGGAAATGCAACTCGTCTATCCCTCCTCCAGCTCAGCAACATCACCAAACGAAGATGCCGAACAAGACGAAGTCTTGAAAAAGGTTACCCAACTATTCAAAGATGTTCTCAAGCTTCCCAAAGATCGCCAGATCGTACCAACTGACAACTTCTTCGAGCTTGGAGGCCAGAGTATTCTGCTGTTGAGGGCGCATTCGAAGATCAAGCGCACTTTCCATGTGGCGCCTGCGCTGAGAGAGTTGTTCACTGCTCCGACGCCGTTGGAGATGGCGGAGAAGATCAGGGGAGCGATTGCTGCGCAGGGATGAGATTGCGGCTTGGATAGCGACTGGCAACAAGGTATCCCAAAATCGAAGAGGACCCTGGGTTCAACCCTTGTAACGATGCCAATTTCTAGTTTGAGGGGCATTCTTCCATTGTGTTTGCGACGCGGCGATGATCCAGCGCCGTACAGCATGATCTTGGTTATAGTATTCAAAGTTGGATAAGCTGGATAGGTCTAATGCTTTTCATGCGGCTACCCATCTGCTGTTTGGCTCTTTGTTCAATATGTTTCTACCATCCGATAGCTGAAAGATTTGATAAATACCCCTACTCTCTTCAATTTCATTTGAGGGTTCTTCAGATTTTGCCACGATGGATGACTCTCTATATCTCATCTATATATATCTACCATATATTGATACTCATTGACGAGCTAAGTTTGTTCTGTCGAGCGCACTCGGGTACTGGACTTGGCAATGGAAATCTACAGAAGACCCGAGAAGTCCCATCCGTTTGGGTGATCCGTTTCTTTTTCTTTTGATGAAAATTGAGATTTTTTTCCCCCTTCATGCGCTAATTTGCTCAATCTACTCTCTTGTCCTCGTCACGCCAAGGTATCCATCATGGCACCGGTGGCAGCCCTGATCCCAGAGCAAAAGGTACTATGCCTTGGAGTTGCGGTGACGTGTATGATGTCGAGTACAAAGGCTTCTACCATATCTGGCAGCATGGAGGGCAGTTATCGTGTACACAAAGCCCGAGAACGGAGACACAATGAGCAGATACCAAGGAACTCAAAAAAAAAATTCCAAGCACAAAGACCATGAGCACAATAGAGTGCTTGAAGAGTCATGCCAAGGGTATGGCTCATAATTCGAAAATGCATTATATATTTTTTCCATATAATCCTCACTGCGGACACTCGACATTCATCCTCTTGCAACTTCTCTGTGACAGGACTCATCACGCCAAATACCACACCTTTTATATATCTCCCTTTCCGCATCAAGGTATCTGCTAGTTCTACTACTTCCGAACCTGCACCTTTCGAGATCTACAAGATGCCGAGACTTGTCTCTGATTTCGTCCGCCACGTGGTCGCGAAGTGGAAGAATCTAATGGGTGGTTCTGTTAGTACGACATGGGAGACAGAGATAGAGCAGGAGGCTCGAACTGGCTGGGACAACGACACTAATTCTGACTGGGAGGCATCGACTGAGCAGGAGATGGGCACAGGCTGGGACAGCCATGCTGCACCTCTACCTGACGAAGATGAGGTCTCTAGAGAAACCAACAGGCGCGACTCGGGCTACGCCTCGGTTGGAGATACACCCTCGAAACCATTGGGAGAGGACCACTTTACCACAACCTCCCCGAGTGAAACCAAGTACTCGCAACTCCCATTCAAGACGAAACACTACCTCCTGACCTACATCCAGACAATCCTGGAAGACACCTGCCTCAGATATGCGCGGGAGAACCTTAGCGAATTCCTCGGGGATCCAGAATGGAAGAAAAAAAGACTTCTATTCCCATCCAAGGAGTACGCAGACGACAGGCTGGCTCGCAGAGACTGGCTCGCCGAGGACGAAATCGAGCTGGAATCCTGGATGCAGATGTTCGCACGCTGCGTCCGCATGCCGAAGAGCAAGCGCATCTTCGAATCCGTCATGGACCTGCGGAACGCGGCCGTCCACCGCGGCGATCGCGAAGAGCTCGGCTTCACCGAACTGTCTTACGCCATGGCATTCCCAGCACTGCTTGGTGACAAGAAGGCAGAGTCGGACATCACCAACGCCTTCAGATTCGTCATGGATGATCCGACGCTGGACCAAGCCACCAAAGCGGCCGTCGAAGAGGCGATGTTCACCCCGCGGCCATGCACGACGCACTACCGGGTCCTATCCCGCATCCAGACCCTCCTCGAACAAACCTGCTTCACCACCGCCACCCGCACCATTCCGCACGTCCTGTCCGCAAACGGCTGGGCCATCCCCGAGCAAGTCGAGCTCCAGAACTGGCAGGCCGTCTTCCAACGCGCCGCCGTCCAGCACGCCGAACCCGCGTCCGACGTCTTCCCCCCAGGCGTCCTGTACCCGCGCGCCCTCGGCGACCTCCTCTGGCGCGCCCGCTTCGGCATCCGCATCGTCGCCGCGCACCGCCTCCCGCTCTCGACGGACGGCCTCGTCAAGCAGGTCCACGTCGCGATCGCCATCTGCGTCTTGCAGGACGATTGGCACCGGGCGCTCGAGATCGAGGTGCTGGCGGAGATGTTCGTCACGAAGCGGTCCCGGGCGCAGGTGCTGGAGAGGTTGGGGACGGTGTGGAGGAGTGGCGGAGTCGGAAATCCGTATGAGTGGAGGAGACGGGTGGAAATTGCGGGGTTTTTGGAGAGGGAGGAGGGGAGGGTGATTCGTGAGGGGGAGGCGTTGGTCGTGAGTGATACGTTTGATGTGGGGGTGTGGGATTTGGAAGTCCCTTGGGCTGAGATGATGTGGAGTCCGAGTATGCATGAGTGTTTGAAGAGGGTGGAGGAGTTGTAGGCGAGGGCTCACTTTGGGTTGGGGCGATTTGCTGTTTTGGCACTTGGGACGAGGATCGCGCTGAAGCGGGTCTTGGGCTATTGGGGAATCTTTGGTCAGCGACGTTTTGCAATGGTAATGTGGGAGCGCTGCTGAAAAAGAGATGCTTTGGGAAGTTTGTTTGGGGTTTACACGGCAGTGTTAGGCATCTTGCGCAAACATGGTACATACAGCGAGGGAGACAGGAGAGGAAATGGGAGATGAGCGCGGTTTCTGACTAGTTTTTCCTCGCAAACGCATATACTAGTACGAGAATTATCATGGAAACCAAAGATTGACCGTTTTTACTTGGAAAATTCACTTCGCTTGATATGTGAGATGCGTAAAGAGTGCTTCTTATCGCTAGACATTATGGCCTGTGACTGCATCCCCAGATGAGGGTCTTTGGAGGGCTTACAGGAATATCTTCTCGCGAAGAAGCCAGTGGAGAATTTTCGAAAGTCTTGGCAAGGGTGTAGGCAAGGTCTGATGAATCAAATGCCTTGTGCAAGCCTAGTGAAGCGATTGCATAGAAATGGTTCATGTACGCGTGGCTACTTCAGGACTCGATGTGCATGAGGCCTGGGTACCCTATCTTCCATTAGCGCTTAGTTCGGCCACCTCGTCCGAGCATGAGTGGAGAGATGATTTGGAAAGCTTGGGTGAATGGGGTGCATTGAATATTGCGAGACTTGAGAAGGTGGTAGAGGCTCTACAGGTCTTAGAAAAACCAGTCTCTATATTCTGTTCAAAGAGTGTAGGTGATAGCCGAGAGAGGAGTACAAGCTGTATATGGTTCTAAAAGCCAATCTCATTTGATGGATTTGATGGATACTAAGGTGCAAGATTTAAGCAGATAATTCCTGGTCACCTAAAAACCAAACCGATCCCTCAAGGAACTGTCTTGCTAGCAAGTCTGCTAAACCTTGTCCTCCGTAGAGTGAAATCAGAGCTGTCTACCGTCATCCGTACTGAAATTATGTGCACGGGGATGAAACTCCAAATGGGCTCCCTTCTCATCGGAAACCCATTCCGCGGGCCCCAATGTGGGCTCCAAAGCCTTCATAGCGGTCTGATATACATGAAGCGTGTCCTCGTTCTCTTTGCTGTGCATCGCAGACTCCATGTCACGCTGAGGGTTCGGTCTCGGGTCGTACATTCTCTCCACCATCCGACGTTTCCTATCTCCCGGATAGTCATTGGCGACGGCCAAGACTAAAGCCTTGAAGCCGGTAAGGCATTTCATAAAATCGAATGTGAATTTTGGTATCCATCCAGAGAAGCCTGGATTGCAGTCAAGAAGGATCTTGCAACATTTTCGAGGAGTAGGGTGAGTCGGAGGTTGAAGGCCCTGTGAGGTGTCTACACAGTCCATGGACTGGGTCAACCATTCATTGAACTTGTTGATGCACGTGTTGCTCGGCTGTGGAACTCTAAGGACGAAATCTGTAAGGTCGAGCCGGATCTCTAGATTGAGAATAGGTTTGGAGAATTGTTGACTTGGGAAGATATCACGGGGTTTGAATATGTTGAACTCGAGTCTGCAAACTCCCTTCTGGTGAAGGATGTCAAGTGCTTCGTTGTGAAATGCCTTGGAACTCTCTAGGAATCGGACCGACCCTGCCGCGATGAGGTCCAGATAGATCTGCTCACGAATTTCCGGTGGTACGAGAGTAAGCGTACCGAATGGTGCTGCCGTCAGAGTCTCTTGGGATTGCGATACAGGGGTCTCATTTCCTGCCTCCCCGAGAGAAGCAAGCTCGAACTTTGATAACAAGGCCATTCTCGCGGCCAGAGTGACTGTGTATGTCTGATGAGAGGTCTTGACGTGGTGATTTGTTGTTGCTGGTTGCTGTGTAAGAAGGACTGCGAGGTACAATGATTTGAGGCGACTTCGTGAGTGAGGAACTTTGGGAGTGCTGAAGATTGATGGAATTAGGAAAAGAAGGTCTAGGAAAGGGCGGAGATGTGTCAAGAGCTTTGTGTCATGGTGTCCGAGTGTGATTGTTCAATGTGAATACGATACCGTCTTTGCGGAGTAGAAACACGACGAGGGATATTGTCGAAAGGTACTGATATGATTTTTTCAGCAACTTTATAGCGAAACAGCGCGGAACAGATTTCAGTGTTGTTGTGCATATGACTGTGGTGGTGAAAGAAGTAGATTCCAGTGTGTCGGGGAGGTAAGGTAGGTATGAAGCCTCTGCCAAGGCACGCTACTGTAAGCACAATCATGACTGACCTGTGCAACTTTTCATACGACGGCGTTGTGAGTTCGGTGTTGAGGAAGCCTGACATAGAAATCCACTTTACAAGCTTGGGGGCTAAATAAGTTACACGATAGATATTGGGTCCCAATACATGTACACAACCCTCATAGCCTGGGGTACAGCTTTCGAATACGGTTTTTGAAGGTAACTTTCCATATTAATATCAACATCTACGATACCCTTGAAAGGCTAGTCTAACTGTTATTCCAGCGTATCAAAAGAATGTGGAAGCGAGTGTATATAGAAGGGGCCCAAAGAGGGGAGGATCTTTTTTACGAGTGACGCACTCTATAGATAGTAAGATATACGGCCTTTGAAGCACTCCGAGACTGCGCCTAGCCTAATCAGCCTACTCAGACCGAATATAGCACTCGAATATGAAGGGGGGTGTACATGTATTGGCACCCTAGATATTTTACTAGCCTCGAGAGGTAACGGTGCTAATCAAGTCCAGTCTCCCATGAAGAACCCCGCTCACCATTACGCCAAGGATGATTGTCATACTAGTCTAGTGCAGTGCACGGTACAGTACCCACATCTGCCTTGGCGTTTCTATCGTGGGTAGCTCTCTGCGAAATTCCATGCCGGTAATCGTTGGCTTGTTTATCTGTCTTGCAACGTGGAATCTGCTCTCAAGCCATTCCGAGAGTCGGCCGAGCAGGTACCCTGAGCCGTTCAGCGCTGTTGCCTAGAGCGGAAAGTGTGAGAAAAAAGAAGGGGGGAGACCTCGAGCGCAGCGGCGCTTCCAAGAGTGGAGGCTTGCATCGAATGAGATTATGACTCGTGCCGGATCTCCGAGAAGCTAGGGCTGGCACAGGCCCCGATACATTAAAAGGGTCACTGCAGGTAATGCATGATGACCGATTGGCTGCCGGTGCTTTTAATCATTGGCTTCCCTGTAAATGACAGATGATTTGAAACGATGCCGGTAGTTAGCACCACTTCTTGGTGACGGCTGCCTTATGCTGACGTTTGAGCCAATTAACACTCCAGTGTAAGAGAGGCCGAGAAAACCCGGCACAGCACCGCCACTCATCGTACCCAATGCTCTGGCTACCCCTCTCATTGTATCATGACTTGAATCATTGTTCAACACTTTCACCATTCTATCGCGAAACGCATCAGGACAGGCTCAATTACTCGAAGACCGTGACATATATCGACCGTTGACGTTGCATCGACGAGATCTTCTAACACTTCCCGCGGCGGAATTCAGCAACAACACCACTCTACACAGACCTCAAAAAAGTCCCAACGAGTGTCAAAGCACACAGTGTGCTCAGATCCTTGCCGCAGCCAACAACACTTTGTCGGGTCAGTTTTTGGAAAGAAATACTACATCCCACATCCTCATTTCTTCCACGGCTACGCTCCATTCCTCACCCAAGGTCATAATCCTCACCCCCACACGCCATGGCAATCCTCACGAGTCTCCCCAATGAACTTCTACTCTCCATCATAGCAGACGTATCTCCGTTATACATTGAATCATTCGCGCTCAGCTGCAAGCGGATCTACTATTTGTGTATAGACACAATCCGGGAACATGACATTGTGAGAAGCAGACTTGCGGAGATGCAACCACTGGGGCTGCTGAGGACTCTGTCGTTACACTCTGAATTAGCCTTGTATCCAATATCCTCGAAGCTTACATACACACCCTTCGAGATGGAATTCCTGCAGCTAGACACTAGCATCAACGATGCGCCACTTAAAAGTGACATCAACGCGTGGGCACTTCAGAGCCCGTTTACCATTTTTCATGAGACCGACGAACGCCACAAAAGTGTTAGAGACTTAGCGATGCCGCTAATGGTTACAAGCCTTCTGAACCTTCGCAAGATAGACTGGGCCATTGCCTATCCCCGTTACCTGCTAGAAGCGGTCTCGCAGATCGTGGAAGCAAGCCGTGAGCCCCTTTCCAGCGTTCGACAACCGTTGGCTTTCGGCAGGTTGAATGAAGTCCGCATCGTGACCACTTGTGACTGCACCTATGGGATGGGCCTTGCGGTACTACTTGCGATGATCCCTTCCGTCAGGAAACTGAAGGTTTTGCGTATATGCAACACCAATCCGTTTGTTTGCCCGTACCCGCGTTACGACTCTGGTGTCACAGAGATGATCTTGGACGAATACGCTGACTCGAGCTATCTGGTGGAGTTAATCAAGCATACGAATCGCTTGCAGAAGTTCACATACAATCACAATATCTATGGTACGGGTACCTCAGCAAAGTTCGAACCTCGGCATGTGGCAGAAATCCTGAAACAACGCGCTGGACATAGCCTTCTCTATCTGAATCTATCAATTGATGTTCCAGGATGTCTTGGATATCTGTGCCGGGACCGGTACCGGAATCACAACGATCTGTCTCTCGGACCTCTTCGAAGCTTCAGTGTCTTAAGAACTATAGTGACATGTGTCGATATGTTCATCAAGACGCGTGGACTCAGCGAATTTGGGAATGGGACTGGCACGGTGCAGAGACTGGTATCGTGGTTGCCAACTAGCCTCGAGGCACTGGTTCTCCACCAAGGGTTGGAAGAGTGGGATAAGGACACCTTGCGGATGCTGTTTCGAGGATTTCGAAAGAACAAGCAGAAACGCGTTCCGAATCTCAAACTCATCGATTTCGTGCAATGTCCTAGCTTCGAGCCACTGATGTCGGACAATATGAAGACCGCTTTTCAAGGAATGGGAGTGAAAGTAGGCTACACTCTGTACTGGTGCAGAAATCCCGAGTGTCGTCAGGTATTTGAGCAGCTGGAAGACTGGGAAGGGCGCCCTTGGGTAGAAGCGCTTGAAGAGTGCTGTCAGCACGAATGGTTGGGATGAAAGTCGACAGAGAGTACCTATGAGAAGCAATGTCGGAATCGGGGGGACTGACTTGATGCGAAGTTGCATACTTGTTCTTCTGTGCCCCGAGCTTATCAAATGGCGTTTGCGTCTAAGGCAAAGTTAGTCGACTGGCAACAGCTAAAGGAGACGCGATCTTGCTCTTGAAGCATCTCTTGATGCAGCTAATTCATGTACATTCATGTCACTACCGAACCCGTTACTTCCATACGCGTATCCCAGTTACTTCTTCCTTGGCCGCTTCTCTCCGTCGGTCACTTTTTGCACCTCACATCCGACTCTCGGCTCAACTCTTCCTCCTTTTAATCTATCTCTTCAACAACTCTCGCGCTGTCATGACTCGCCAGCTGTAGCGGTGCTTTACCGGAGAGGCCGTGACTGATGTAAAGAAGTCTTGTTCAATGATTAGCCCCAATAATTTGTTATAGGTCTCGGCTTACCGCTGGCTCGTCACGTCCAAAGTCTAGTGTTCAATGAGTGTGTTAAATGAGAATCTTGACCTATGTGCGATGATTGGTCGCCAATTTGTGTTATAGGTCTGGGCGAGCCACCGGGTTTTCCACTGCGGTAAACAGCCAGTTTCCTCAATGTTGCGCAATGCACTGCGTGGGGCCTTTCTGAGACTATATGATGGAATTTTGATGACGGCTTGTTGTTTTTCTATGGAGTTTGTGTGCTACTTATAGTTGTTGCCAAGCAAAAAAGGGTTTTAATTTTATTTTCTAAAAATTTAAGGGGGGGGGTTTTTTTTTTTTTTTATTTTAATATAAAAATTTTTTTTTTTTTTTTTTTTTTAAAAATTTATTTTTATTTTTTTTTTTACCTTATATTTAATAATTTTTTTTTTAATTTTTTTTTTTTATTATTAATTTTTTATTTTTTTATTATTTTTTTTTTTAAAATAAAAAATATTTATTTTTTTTTTTTAATTTTTTTTTTTTTTTTTTTAATATTTTTTTTATTTTTTTTTTTTTTAATATTTTTAAATATTTTTTTTTTTTTTTTTTTTGTCTTTAAAAAAATAGTTTTTTTATTTTTTTTAGATTTTTTTCTTCTTTTTTTCGTTTAATCTTACTTAAAAATAATATTAAGTAGTTATTAACGCTAAATAACGAGATTTACGTCTATATAATACGATTAAATTAGATAATAAATATAAGATAAAGACGCTTTAAGTCTAGTTCTTAAAGAAATACGATTATTAATTAAATTAATCTACGATCTCTAAGAGTCTATTAGCTAAATTCTAGCGATTAAATAGCGAAGTCTCTTATTCTAATTAAAAGAAATAGCGCGTATATAAGTAGTTAAATCTAGAAAATATATTATTTAATTAGTAATAGCGATAGTAGAAAAAGAAGACTATAATTACGAGAGAGAATATTTTTAATATTCTAGAATAAGCTTTCTTAATATAACGATAAATTATAGCCTTGCTTTTCTACTAATTAGCTAAATATATTTAAGATTAAAATATAAGATTAAAAAGTTTTATTATTATAATAAATTTAAAGTAATAGATCGCGTAATTATTAAAGAAGAGCTTATAAAGCTATATAAGAATTTAAAAGATATAAAGTTTAAGAATATCTTTAATATAAATGAGATAGGTCTCTTTTAGAAAATAAGTCTTAATGATACGCTAATAACTAAGTAGACTATTAACGATAAGTATAAGAAGACTTAAATTATAGCGAATTTCTATTATAATATAATAAGAAGTAGAAAGTTAAAGCTATAATTTATTAAAAAGATAAAGATATTATAATTCTTTAATAACGCTAATATAAAAGTCGAGAATCTCGCTATAATTTAAAGATTTAATAGAATAATATAAATAACTAAGATAATCTTTAAGAAGTATATACTATAATTCGATAACTAGATCGAGAATAGAAAGATTATTCTACTTATCGATAGATTTTTAACTTATAAAATAGATCTAAATCTTCTACTTAAGATATATTCTACTAGTTTATAAAATATTACTATTATTATTTTCCTCTCTATTAATATAATATTTATTTACTAGTCTTTAAATTAAGATATTATTTATATCTAGAAAGTATATTATAGAAAGAAATAGTTAAATTATATATACTCGAAATATAATATAAATAAAGACTTAATTATCTCGATAAATATTCTATAAACTATATAATAGAAGATCGTCGTCTAAGAGAAAGATATAACGTCTACTATAATATATAATTATTAAATAAAAGCGCGAGTTCTTAATTCTAAATATAATTCTATAATTAAATATATTATAAGAGCTATAGATTAAGCTAAGAAAGTTATATAGAATATTAAGATTTATAATAATATATTATCTTAAATAAATAAGCGAATTTAGACTTTAGCTTTCTAGAAAAAGATTAAATTAATAATATATATAGCTCGTTTTCTAAATTCTATTAATAAGAATATAGTTAATAAAGATAAGAATATTATAAATCTAATTATAGCTAATTATAGTTATAAAGAATAAACTTATAAGACTAATAAAGAGAATATTTCGATATCTCGTATTAAGAATTTAAAGACTCTAAAGCTATTAAAATATCTATAATTATATAAAAAATAATAAAACGACGGCGCTATTATATTAATTATACGTCTAAATCGATATAAGAGAGAGATTAAAGCTTATAAGACTTCTATATAAAAGTAGACATCGATTTAAACGTATTTTAATAGTAATTAATATAAATCTAGACTTAACGATAATTTAATTATAACGATACTATCTTTATGAAATAATATATCGTTATAGTCTAGATAGACTATAGTAGTCTAGATATAGACTTAAAAGCGTACGATTGCTTTTCTACTAGCGATGTAATTAAAAGTCTTATAGTAATTACACTTTTAGTAATTATACCTGAAATTACTGTAAAGCAATTAATCTAACGATGTCCTGGCCAGGATATCTGGCAATCTGTGCTGCGTAAGTGTCCGGGAGAGGCCGTGACTGATGTAAAGAAGTCTTGTTCAATGATTAGCCCCAATAATTTGTTATAGGTCTCGGCTTACCGCGGCTCGTCACGTCCAAGGTCTAGTGTTCAATGAGTGTGTTAAATGAGAATCTTGACCTATGTGCGATGATTGGTCGCCAATTTGTGTTATAGGTCTGGGCGAGCCACCGGGTTTTCCACTGCGGTAAACAGCCAGTTTCCTCAACGTCGCGCAATGCACTGCGTGGGGCCTTTCTGAGACTATATGATGGAATTTTGATGACGGCTTGTTGTTTTTCTATGGAGTTTGTGTGCTACTTATAGTTGTTGCCAAGCACAATAGGGCTGAGATGCTGAATTCCAACACTATATCTCTGCCGCAAAGCGATCCGCACCACTCCTTGACTGTTTAATTTTGGGGAAGCTAGTACCTGTAATCGGGTAAAGTGACGAATAAAAGATGTCTCATTTATATTACTGTATTATTACAGTAAGGACTACTAAGGTAAAGTAGATAGAGCCCTCACCTTACCTAATCACCGAGCCTCAGGCCCAAGAGTTCCCGCGACGGCGCGACACTAACAAAGTCAAAGATTCCCGCGATAACTACGATAAGATATCGAATACGCCTCGGATAGTAATCAATCAGTGTGACTACATGAATTTTGAGACAATTCGAAGTGTCAGCACCAAGGACACTTGGGACCCGTGAGTTGATCTTGAGCTAGTCATACGTGGCAAAGATCTTCCCAGTATTCTTAAAGTACCACCATACCAAGCATTATAATCATGAGCATCATGATCTGAACCCTGCTACGGAATAAGAGCGACGCCGTCGAGCGGGAGCGGGTACTCGGCCACTCAATTGTTTCCCAGCTGTTCTACTCGTAGACTGGTACAAGGGTACCAACATTACACGGCTAAAGTAAATGACGCATGATATTTTCCCCGGGATTAATCCTTGCCACCTCCAACATAATGAACCTGTGTCTTTTCTTTTTTTTCTTCCACCTTCCCCTCTGTCTTTCTTTCTTTCTTTCTTTCTATCTTCCTCTTCACTATTCTACATCACAACCTTTGACTTACTTGGTCTTTGTTTGGTAGGTGCGGGTAGCAACACCCCCATTTCTTCATCCTCCACAGCTGCTCCGAAATGTTACTCGCGACGAATCTGCGAGCCTCTAGCTCGTGGTGTGATCGGCGCATCATCTTCATCTTTATATTTTCTATCTTCCTCTACATCATTGCCCTGATCTCCTTCAGCCCGTCCTTCCGCCAGTTTCCACAACATTTCCTCGATTACCACACTGCTTCCCATGGCTTCACTGAAAGGCCACTTCAAGTGACTCTCTTCCCATGACTGGCCACAAGTGCGTCTCACGACCTAAATACAAGTGCACCCTGGACATTTGATCCTATGAAACATAGTGAGAACTATGGACTGTCAGACTTACAATGCAGCTCCGCCTTTCCAAAACTCTACACTTCCATCGATGAAATGGTAGATCGCCACACTTCAAACCCCATCAGAGCAAATGGTTTGGATGCTGAAATGACCGGTGACCACGCCGTGACGGGGCCGGTAAAGGCCATGATCTTCAAAGGAGAGCTTTTTGTCATTGAAGATAAAGGGATGACGGATTACTACGGCACTCGACTCTTCGCTACTCTAGACTCGATACATCGCGCCTTGGTGTCCTTCCCCGACCGGGCACAGCTGCCGAACTGCGAGTTCATCATCTCCTGGGGAGATAAGCCTGCGCGTGGCGCCCCAGTCTGGGGATACACAAAGAAAGACACGCCGGAGTACGACGACACATGGCTGATGCCGGATTTTGGGTTTTTCAGTTGGCCGGAGCCGAAGACAGGCGCGTACACGGAGATTCGGCGTGCCATCAGGAGAGTGGAGAGGGAAACGCCTTTTGAGAAGAAGGTACCAAAGCTTGTCTGGCGTGGGGCACCCCTGATTGAAGACCGAGTGAAATTTTTGAATTACACGCAGCAAAAGGCCTGGGCCGATGT